TATACTTGGAGAAGAGTACAAATTACGAGAATGTATTTTATATACATTTATTAATATATGTACGTGTAAAATGTAAAAATTCTTTATATTATAAAAAATGACTTACTACTACAGACAATGACTCTGACAAAAGACATGCCCGTCCTCTCATCAAAGAGGACACCCCACAAAAACAGGACCGTAACTGTCAAACAGTAATAAATATGTGGTCATAAGCCCCGGATTGTGCTCGACACCAAGACTGACTGACTGACCGACCGTCAGTGGCAATGTGACTTTTACTATGACTTTGACAGCTCTGTCGGTAGTCAGAATAGTTCCCCTGGAGTGCCTAGTCGGAAGGTTACAGTGTGCCAGATAGTGACTGGTATACTCTTGTAACCAGTTGTATGAAATTCGATAAATTCAATCACCAAATTCTCTTATTAGTCACGAAAAACCCGGATAAGTGACAATATACATTCTACTATATGATCATGAAATATATTTTGTTAAACTAATTATTTTTTTAGGATTTTAATGAATGCAGAAGTGTAATTACTCTGACAGGAACAAGAACTCTTCTTTCGGTCGTATCATTCCTTCCATACTGAACAAAAGAACTCCGTTCTTCAGTCGTAATCCGTAGTTTTGTTGAGGTTATCTTTGGTATTTACCAAGTTCGGAATAAGGTGATGTCAAGAAACATGTAGTGCGCAGTCGTTTGGAGCAATAGTTTATTTTAATTAGTATTTAAACTTTCAGTTCGTATCTCGCAGAAACATGCAATCCTTCTCTATTTTAAAGTCCCATCGGTTCATGCGGGTTAGTGAAACATATCTCTTTTTTGAGAAGAAACATACGTCTATACCACAATGAATAAATTAAGAGATTCTTAAAGTTACGTAAGTGGTACATATAGTAACCACTTATATGAAGATGAAGGTCAATGTGGTAACTGAAATTGCAATTCAACAAACAATACACACGTATATTGCTATATTTCTTTAAGTTATTCTATTTGTTCTGTTGAAAGCCATTAAATCTTGATGGGACATGACGTCCACTTGAAAATTGGTCGTCAGTGAAAAAGTGAAACGGAACTAGAAGGAAGTATTCGTGGTCAAGCAACGGGTATTACCAGGTAACTTACCGGCAAAAAGAGAAATGTAATGGAGCTCTTTATTTAATGTTGCAAGTCTCCGGACCAGGACAATGAGCACTAACTGCCATATCTCGACTGTTCTTGTTAAGAATGTTCAATTCTCGTATAAACAAACACGAAAAAATTGAAGATATTCAAGAATTTATGGGGCAGACTTCCGAGCATGAAAGGAATTGCCCAGAAACATACAGATCGAGTAAAATTAAGTTGAATACAAAACAGCAAACTGAGATAAAATCATAAGGACGTAGATATACTGGAAACGTGAGAACTTGTAGGAAACATCTACATGTACCTGTAGATGTTTCAGGAACAGGGCATTAAATCTAATAGTGCTAAATTTGTTTGGTAACTATTATTGTATCCATGTACATGGTTCATCGAGACATGACATTAATAGAAACATACAAAGTGTTCATCCAGTGCTTCCTACAATAGAAACAAATTACGTAAACCAAGAAACTAAATAGAAGTAACAGGGGGAACACAATCTGGCAGTAACTGTGTGCAACAGCTGGAATTATAAGCAAATTGACTGACTGACTAATTTCATAAGTATATAGGAGATTCGACTATAGAATACCCATCAAAACAGCATATGAAATCTAGAATTAATAAGTTACTTAAAGCTTTTAGCTAATAATTGGGAGTACAATTTCCTCCACACTTGATATTGTGCTTGTCACATGATGTGACGGTTACAATTACATTACTGAGGTTTTGAATTATTTATGTGTATGCCATGTGAACCTGAGTTTGGTGAGCCGTCCAGAGATTCAAGTTTTCCTTTCAGAATTTCTTCAACGTGTACTTCAGCCGGTAAAGCAATTAAGTGGGGGCTGGATTTTTCTCTTATCCAAGAAGTACAGATGGGTTTTGGCCCTTTTCACCGTTCGTTTCCTTGTAGTTACAGTTAAGAAAATTAATAACTTTATTTTTATCTTATTTGAAGAGAAAATTATAGTGCGTAATTCTGTTCAAAAGAAGATACTTATAATTCATACGTACCATTAAAATGTTTACATACACCTGCCCTTTGGTTTCACTTTGATATTACCGACTGGATATTTAAGAACTGATTTATACTAAGGGTGAACGCGAAACAAGTTCAGAGAAACAAAATGCTGGGCTTTGTCATTGCCTGATGTATAAATAAAATAAACAACATTTCGGAAACAGTCTACAAATGTGAGAATATGGATCTTCATCACGCTTCAGACGGTGAACAAATTCAGCACAAAATGTCTGAATGATAAGTCAATTGTCACAGAATTTAATTTAATTAGAAACCAGTCTCTGATGTAATTTTAGTGTCCCATATTAAATAGTGTTATATTCAGCGCGCTGCTTAATCTGCAGCCACATTCCACCAGCAGGTGCCAAAATAAATGGCTTTGTATCCATAACCAATGGAACCGGAGTTTTCTCACTCAGACTGAATTGGTATTTGGACAGAAGAGAGACAAGTCCCACCTTGGTTAGCATCAGACCGAACCGCATTCCTGGAAAAGAAAATTAGAACTCCGTAGAAATGAGTGCCGTTCCATGGTTTAAACAAGCTCTTCGGCTGGGATTATGCGCTCGAACCCGGATGGGGCATCAACTAAATTCCCATGTTCTTCTGCACTTCGTACATTTCCATCAAGATATGGCTCCCGAAGTACTGATCCCCCAAGAAGGGACCCTTAACGTATGACTGAGTAGGTTTAAGATTACATGGAGCCATAACTTTAATTGGGTTATGGCGCTAAGAATGAAGATTATAGTTTGCTACATACATGCATAAAATTCATAACGTTTACTTTTATGCAGCATTCCGTAAGAAAAATAGGCATCTTGCGATGTAATGAACTAACAAGTGTGAGCATTGCTTAATATCGGAAAGTCGTACATACCCGAGGAGCGACAGCATTATGTGGCGTCTGGAAGTCTTAACTAATTAAAACCACGCAACAGTATCCTCCCCGAGAGGCCTGCAGTGATTAATTTGCTAATGAAATTATGAAAGTTAAAAGTTTCTTCGGCGTTTTCACAGTTGCCTATCACTGGGATCTCTTCTCAATCGGCATCATTATGCATTATATATTTACGAATTATCCGAATATTAGCACGCAGATTTGTATAGGTCTCTTATTCTGTTTAAGGTTTCTGAGTAAAATTCCTAACCTTTCCCTTTAATACTGTATTCCTGCTCATCTCATTATTCCAGTTTTAATTATCCTAACAATATTTAATGAAGTGCTTCAATTACAAATGTCCTCATTTTATATATTTCTCGAGTGTGCAGTGTCTTCATGCTCAGGAAACTAGAAAACAAATTAAATGAAACACCAAATCAATATAAAGGGCATGTTATGCAATACTGGTTATAGTATTTTGTGATGTTATTGGTCTTATAATTATCCATTACCACGCTTGGCCCCACGTTGCTGGTTGCTGCCCACCTTTGGGAGCGATTTCTTTGTAACAGTTCCTTCTCACCTGTAGCTATGTCGAGCTTGCAGGTTGCTGCTGCGTCTTTCTTATCGACCTCTTATTCCCCTTGTTGTTATTGTGAATGTGGGTAGTTTACGGGGCATGGGTTACAGTGAAGGCTAGGTTCCCGTAAACTTATTATAAAGACTCGCTATTTGGGAAGGCAAAGTGGGGTGAACCTGAAACTACAGTTGATAGGTAGCAGTTTAACACTAGGTCAATGAGATTCAGTCTCAGGTGTATCCAGGCTTCGCGATAGCGAGAAGGCAAGAGTCACTAATGCTATACACTACGCCACAGTGGTTGAGGAGCACTTTTAATATTTCAGTCAACAAGAATGGTTATTGCGGTAGTTAGATTCAGACTTGAGAAATCTACTTAATATGATTAAACGACTATTCCAGTACCACACTTCAAAATAATTTTACTTTCAACTTAAACACTTAAAGCAAACTTGGAATCCCACTAATTTTTGCGGCTGGATCCTTGGCGAGTTATTACGACAATTCGAAATGATTTTACTTTCAACTTAAACATTTGCACCCAACTTAAAGTGACAATAATTGTACGGCTGTATCCTTGGAGAGTTATTCAGAGAATACTTACCAGACTGACTCTGCTTTGAGGCAAGAAGTCTCCCCAGCTTCAGCTCCGCCTACAAGTCACTACCCTAATTTGTTGATTGGAACAATTTGAATTTTGGGACTATACCCTAATTCTCACTGCTCCAGTCATCTTCTTGTTTCAAGGGACTCTCACCCTTGATGACCTGACAGTTGCTTGAAAAATTATACCAGTAGCATGGGTTGCGAGCCTTCCAACTTTTGACTTACTGGGTTCAAAACCTGTCAAGTACAACTTTACCAAATGATCCCGTAGGGCAACTATCGAGGTGAATTTCCTGGAAAACGCTGCAGTGTGCTTCCAGGTTTGTCTTTGCAGCAGTGAAGCAGGTCCTATTTTTGAAACCAAGCATCGGGCTAAGTCACCCTTGAATTATCATTACTACGTCATAGGCGTAATTACTATGAATTTGATTTGTTTCATTCTGGTCCGTCACACTAACAATTACAAAGACAAAAACAACACCGTCCAGTGTGACTATTTAAGCTTTATCCCTTGAAAACTCACCACCCTTACATGTTTCGATCCCTACGGATCATCCTCAGAGGGCATCAATACTTTTTCCGGAAACACCTATTGTAATAGTAGTTTCCGGAAAAAGTACAAAAGTACAAAGTACAAAAAAAATGCTGGTGTTGTCATTGGTACGGCTACAATCTAACTTTGCTGGCACCTCTAAGCACCCACAAGGCATCATCTGCTGGCGCAATCAGTAGTATCTGCTTTGTAATACAGTGCTTCGATAGACTGAACTTACCTATGCATATCCTGGGACCCTCTCCGAAGGGCAGATACACGTAGTGGTGTCTCTTCGCCTTTTCCTCTTCACTGAATCTCTCCGGGTCGAATCTCTCAGGGTCAGGATAATACTTAGGGTCGTGATGAAGGGCCAAGACCGGTATAGCCGTTAAGACTCCCTTCTCCAGAACAATATCCGTGTCAGGTATTTTGTAGGCTTTGGTACATTCACGGTTTAAGATCGTAACCGGTGGATATTTCCGAAGAGTTTCTGGAAATGACCATCAAAGGAAAATTGTGTGGACCTTCTTATGGTAACTACTTCCTTATATTATTAAGAAAGTAATTTCTCCATTCTCAGAAAATATTGTTAATCTTGGATAAATATGTTGCTTTGGAGCATGTACAATTATTACAGTTAATTCTGTTTCCTAAGTACGAACACAGAACTTTATGTTTTATAAAGTAGTGAATACAACAAAATTATTTCAAATACCGGACTGCTGGACTCCACATAAGGAACGGAAACAAATAATGGAAATAACAAAGTTAATAGAAAGTCCGTCGAGTGTAAGAATTTGTAGGTCACTTCTTTATCACTTCTGCCTTACATGTTTCGGTTTGACACAACCATCATCAGAGGCACTTACTACAATTATGAAAACACTGTCGTTGTTTATGATGTTCACAGTTATGTTTGTTGTGTGGACGCTGCTACAATATGTCGACGTGTAAAAGCACAACACTTGCTAGGATAGCTGAGTACACTATCAATTCTCACTTTCCATCCGAAACTGTTTTTAAGTTAAAACGCTAAAGTTAAAATATTTAAAATATTTAAAACATTTGATGTAAAATGCTAAGCTCCTCCTTGTTAATTCATCCCGAAGATGGGAGATGTCAGCTTGAGGTTGTATGGCTTATGGTTAGATGTTTCCTATGTGCTGTGTGTTGTGTACTGCAAATGGAAATAAATTCAAATCGAGACTGTATGCAGCTGACCTAAAATCACATGTCTTATATTACAGATTGCCTACTGAACGTCACTCAAGTAAGAAATTTCATATCAATATGTAGCAAGCCGTCCTTCCTTAAGAAGTTACAACTGTTATAGTTTAAATCTCCATAGTCACACTGTAAAAATTTTGCAGAGTCTAATGTGTTGTTTATAAAAGGGGAACCAACAGAAGAGCTTTTGATAACGTATTCACTTTTGCTTTCTTAAGAGAGGTATTTAAAATCATCTCTTGTGATCTCGGATAGAGACATCAGTTCTGCGCGTACAATAAATTCGCAAGAGTTAGAAAATTCTGGATATATTTCTTATTACACACGAGAACTACTGAATTCGACTTCACATTCTCTGTCTGGTATCGAGTGAGGTGGCATTTGTAGGGTTCGTCTTCTGGGTTTAGGCACCGTGTATTCTTCGTTTTGGCCGACGTTTCGGAGGAACGTATCGCCTCCATCTTCAGAGTTTCCGCATCCACTTTCACAAAACCGCCATAATCACCAGTAAGAGCCGTTACCTAGATCGCATAATCATGGAGGCCGTTGAGATCGAGCTCCATCCGAACAACATGAACAAGGAAACAGGGTTCAGTCTCAGCAAATCATGGAAGCCTCTCATCTCTTTCCTCAAGAGAAATCCAACAAGCCACACCAGTTCTTCGTCATGTCATTGACGTCAGTAGCCTGTCCCAAACAACCGGTTCTTCTTGTCTACCGCGCTTCCTAGTGCTCTTGACCTCAAGTTTCCTGGATTCACTGGCCGTTCCCCGCCCGCCCTTAGCAGACAACACCATATATGGCCATAATCGCTCTCCACTACTCCTATTGGTCCGCTCTACCTAACCACCCCCCTGCCTACTTCGTATATAAGCAGCGCATTTCACTTGCTATCACTACAGCTACTGCTCTCTGCATTCCAAGCCATTCACCCGCTCTGAAGATGAAGGCGATACGTTCCTCCGAAACGTCGGCCGAAACGAAGAATACACGGCGCCTAAACCCAGAAGACGACTTTCTTCATTGACTTAATTCATGTTTACGTTGCCCATCAATCCAGCTTCCAGGATGGATTTTGGTGTACCATCAATATACTTCACGTCTGTAATATGGTACATCTGTACAATTTAGAGGTTTGAATTGAATACACAGGTTTTTCGATTGACACGAGTTTGAAGCAGCACCACCGTCAAGAACATCCGAATAATTTCCTCAAAGCATCACCTGGAGTCACAATATTCGTCTACTCATCACCAACATCCTCTTCACCAAATCCAGGCACATGGATCACGTTAGGAATCGTAGACTCAACACCACGCGATAACGCACGCCTTTCGTTCCGAGACGGTGACGTAACAGCATAGGAGCCACTGCTGCTGTTGGTAAGGGCAACAGACCAGTAAACACTTCCCCGAAATGACGCAACAGCAGAGGAGCTGTGCTAGGCAACGAGACGGTAAACACTTCCCCGCTGTGATGTAACAGCGGAGGACGACGCTGCTGCTAATACTTTGCGAACCGGACGCATGATATCAGGCTTTTCGCTTTTAAACGTGACGGACCGGTCGCATGATATCAGGCTTTTAGTACACATTAGGTTGTAACACAGTATACCTTGCTCTGGCGCCATGCAACTGCAATGAATACTGCGTAATAAATCTCCTGAATGTATGCTAGATATTCAGTAACTTGACCTGGCTGGCTAGGGTCCCTACTCCAAAAGAAAATAAACTTTGCCCCTTCCAACTGTTTATGTATCAGGCAGGAAGTTAGGAGAGGGGAATATGTTTCAAAGGACCAAAGTGGTTGATGGCAAAACCATCTCTCTGACTTGTTTTCCGATGAGCTATCTGACGTGCCTTGTGGAGGGGTAGTGATTAGTGACTCACACAGTGGAAGTGACAGGGGTCAACAAAGAATTGTGGCCACAGATAATAAAAGTGAAAGTTGCCTTGTGGCTCATAAATTGTGCCATTTTCAATTCATTTTTCGTTTACAAAAATCTAAACCCTGATTCAAAATTGAAATACAAAGTATTTCTGATGAATGTGACAACGGCTTGGGCTACAGACCAGATGGTGGCGGCAGAACCAGAGTCAGACAGACTTAGGGCGACCTAGCCCATCAACTCCCACCCCACCCAGGCCTCATGTGGACACTCCCGGGTGACTCTCGGGTGATATGCGGAAACATACCCTCGTGAAAATTGTGAAGCGTGAACATTCCAAGGGGAAGCATCCTTCTAGGCAATGCCGTGTTTGCGCAGTTCACAAAAAATGGACTATGACTCTCTACATTTGCAAGCGTGTAATGCCACTTCACAAAAGGGAATGTTTCCAGAAATATCACACTCTCAAGCACTTCTAGGAGCACTGGTAAGTGTTCTACAAAAATTTTAGTTCATAAAATTAATTAGGAGATTTTTTATCAATTTATAAAGTGAACAGTGCACAAGTTAGGGTATAGTAGGTATAAAAATGCCGGTCCGCAGGGTGATTAAATATTTAAATTGCCGGTCCGCATAGTGCTAGGCAACAATTTTCCACTTTTCGGATATATACATACGTATATGTATATCGGCTGTGGAAGTGGTGCAGACAGAAGCCAGTGGAAGCCGACAGTGGCAGTGTGTTGACAGAAGCCAGCAGTTAGCCAGCACGGAGTGTTCGACAGTTCTACAGTTCGAGATTCCAGTGAGAATAGTTAACACGAAAGGACCGACTCTGAAACGACTTTTTCAACCTTTATGTTATAGTTACGTGGAAGAGTAATAAAGTGACGTCGCAAGAATACTCCTCTAAGTCCTTTATCACGACAGATCTCATCATAAGGGAGGCCATTGAAATTGAACTACATCACAGAATATGAAAAAGGAGGAAGGTATCTGTCTATAGGTCGTAGAAACTTCATCTCATCCCTGAAATATTTTATGAAGCCTCCCTCACAGGACTGTATAACTGGGTGCTCCGTGGGGTCACGTGCTAAGACCATCATCAGAGTAGCAACTCTGCCCTCTCCCTGCTCCTCCGATTTTCCCCTGCTGCCTCTGTACATTTATCCTATATAGCAAGCACAAGTCTTCTCTCACACACCGCTCGCTTCTCTAGACGCACACCCCGTTACGTCTCTCCTTTGTTTTCCTACATATGCACAACCAAGCCCTTTTCAGGACCATGTTGGTTATCTTGCTATGTCCTGCTGGTTCTTTAATTTTTACATATTATTGGATTATGATGTGTGGATAGAAGCATCGGTCACTCGGGGAACCTAGATTTTCAGATGTGGTTTTCCCATTCTGGTGCTGCTCCTTTTGTAAAATGTTACACTTACCCTTGTGAGTCACTTGTAGGTTGCATGCATTTATGACCTATTAGTGCAATATATACTTTGGTGTAGAGTGGTTTGTTTACTTTGCCCTTGGTATCTACTAAGCTGCAGATTTTGCTTCTCCTCAAGAAGGGCTCAGCTCCATAAGTAAGTAAGTAAGTAAGTGAGTATCTACTAAGCTAACTCTCGCATGTCCTGTGAATAAACGGATTATTGTCTGGTTTTTATATGACATTTGCTTACATCACTGCTTTTGCAATGTAGAGGAAAGGAAATGGAGCATTTGTGATCTTCCTAAATGTGTGATAGCATTAAGAGATAACATTTCTTAAGTCAATATTGCTAAAGTTACTGTGGCTTTGAGTCTGTCCAGGTGCTCGATTATTCGTAAAATTTGATTTTGTGGACTGGGGGGTTCCTGGTTGCAAATGGAGACAAGCAGCAACTTCTCGCATCATCTGTAGATAAGAAATTGTCGAAATTTTGCTCCTCAAAGTTTGAGCGAAACTGGTCTTCTGATACTTTTGTTATTGCTGTGGCTTTGCCCAGCGGTGTGTAGGCCAGTCCCTTTCTTCCGTGAACTACTCAGATATTTCTTGTACTTGCATCTTCAATATCTTTCTGAATATTTGAATCCTGCTGTGTACACGTAAATAGTTGTAAGAAGTAGTATTGCCTGTGATCAGCTGTGCACGTTTATCTTTGCTTTTCTCTTTCATCACAGTAGTTTCCCGAGATCTGGAATGGCTGAATCTCGACGCGGATATGTATGATATGGTTTTAAGGAGTTTCTTGCTGATTTTATTGCTGATGTGAATATGGCTATTGCAGCATCTATTTCTTCGACCGACGTGATATTCGGTTTTCCTAGTATCGCATGTTTCAGCAAATGCCTGCAGAAGACCAAGTTGACTGCAGAGGAGTCCACCCTAGGTAATGAAGTTTCATGTGGTTTCAGACCCATGAAGAGTATAACTGGCCAGTGATCGGAGCTTAATGCTTCTACGGGCTCAAACTATATGGGTACTGCTGAGTTTCTCATGACTGCCGTTTCGAGGACTTCCGGTAGATGAGTGTAGTTTGCTGGGAAATTAGTGGAAGTGTGCGGACATATGATTCCGTAGTTGAATTGGAGAGCATGATCATACACATTATGGCCCTTGGTGTTTGTCAGACCAGAGTGCCGCATCTTATGCTTAACATTACGGTCGCCAGCTGATTGTACTGGGTCAGTGGCGTGAGATCTTGGGATCAGAAATGGTCGGCTAGGTGGGTCGTATTCAGCACTGATTCTGTGACTCTCTCTCCTGGTTAGGATATTTACTCCTGTGACTTCAATAGCTGTAAATTCAGGTAAGTTTCTTTGTTTTGTTGAATTGACGATTTCACTTATAAGACTGTTCCGCCATGTGCTAGTCTATGTCTTTCTGTTCGATATTCAAGATTCGATTCAAATATTATGAAGTGAAGTAATACATCAGGCACAATAGATCACTGTGGTCGCGGTGCAAGAGCCAAGAAGGCCCACCCATTATACATTCAATAATATGAAATTAAGAGGGCTTGCTAATCTCTGCTTCACTAGGGCTGAGCTTTCTGTCTCACAACTTGGTAGCCATTTGGATGACCTCGTGAAAGAAGGTGAGAAAGAGGGAGTTCCTAAATTCCCTTATTTGCTTTCTTACTACATAAACACGTTAAACTTAGGACCCGAAAATACTCGTATGCATGTGGAGGCGGCTACAGAGCTGGGGATTTGTGGCGATATTGATGAATTACGTCAAATTTGTGTTATTTGAACTTTCTTCCAAGGGCAAGCCTTACCTGAGACAACTTTATCCAAGTATTCCATTTCTTGGATGGCTTCATACGTAATCTTGCCTTCATGTTTCTTCAGCACAACATCGTTCTCTTCCCGGAGACGTTCCTGTATATCCTGGTGCAATGACAGCTCGTACAGACAAAACGTCATGGTGGTTGACGAAGTCTCGAAACCCGCAGCAAAGAAAACGAAGGCCTGGGCCGCCAGTAAGTTCATAGACAAACCTGTATTAAGAAGGGCTAAATGCATGATGGGAATTTCATATATTGAAAGGCAAGCAGTATGACAGGGCATACTTCAGATTAAGGGAGCTAACAAGGGATAATTTAGTCTAAATATTTACAAATATTCGAGTAATACGTCACAGTCATAATCCTCATGTTTGTAATGCAGGTAACAGTGCTTATGCCGTGCAAGAAATATATCATTTTCTATTCTGATAACAGACTAAATTAACACATCATTCACTGGGAGAAATATCAAGTCCTAAACGTTAAACTACGTGACAGTATTAATTTCCAAATTCTTCAGTAAATTTCTCATGACGCGAGACAAACGAATGTTGTGGTAAGAGTACACATGATTTATATTCTACACTTCAGCAATAGTGTCAACAATAAAAGTCATAAGTTGCGGCTATAATGGAAAATTGACTTCTGGAAGTCGTAAGTACTTTATCGTAGAGTGAAACCAACACTACATATACTGATTGAAGCCAATTTTGTATGGCTTTGTAAAGGCATATTTCGGCTTATAACATAAATAGAAGAAATAAATTAAGTGCGCTTCGCACAGAAATTTTCCCACATTAGTAATTTCTATACATTTTATTGCATGATGCTTTTGTGTGAACTTAAGTTGGGTGGGTTAAAGAATTGTCCATTAAATACCTGAGGACTGAGAGGAAGTGAGAATATATATACATATATATGTCTGTTTCGAAGGTTGTGGTAGAAGGAAACTTCTTAACTGTGTGCAGAATACGTTACCCACAGATGTGTGGAGTGATTTCGTTGAGAAACCCAATGCTCAGTCCGAGCTCATCCATACAGGACAAGAATGAATGTATTTATTTACACGGAACGTATACAGGAAGTACGTACCATTCTCATCAGACTTGTTCTCCAAGTCTCCATGGCCATTCTGCTCCAGGTAACCGTGTTCTTCCTCCACTTTGCCACGATTCTTGATCTGGATAAGCAGTTGCAAAAAGTCGTTGCGTTTAATGTTGTTCTTCTCCCTGTAAGTCATTGTCTCTTCAAACAAACTTCGGAAATATTCTGAAACTTTGGGTTCTAAACCTCTGAGCTTCAAGAAGCTCACCATAGAGGGAAGTAGTGCACTCAGAGATCCAGTTATTGACGATTTTATAGTCGTTGGGAATATTTTCTTTCCCCATTGACGAAATTCAGCGCCTGGATTCTCGAGACAATGGCTTTGGATGCCAAATGCACACGATGATATTATATCTGTGCTGTACCTAGCCAAGATCTCTTTTATTTCAATAATCTCCTCCCGACTGGCGGTTTCCTGTAAGATATCTCCAAGTTCTTGCCCACAATCAACCAAAGTTTGAAACATCATCTTCATTTTACCGGAAGTGAAAGTTGGTGTCAGTTTAACGCGAAGATTTCTCCATCTGTTTCCAGGAAGACGGAACAAGTGAACAGTAAGTGGTTCAAACTGTTCATCCGTGAAGATGCCACGATCATGGAAACTACTGAAGTCTTTAACCAGGACATTCTTAATAATTTCTGGGTCACGGAAAATGAATTCAGGTTTCGTGAACATGTATGTCCCTCCATATTTCTCACCGTCTAGCTTCTTGTAAAGATCTACGAACTTATGTCCTATATGTATTTTCAAAAACATCAGGTTTCTGAAATTTCCAAAGGGGAATGTTGGTTCGATGTAAGGTACATTTCTTTCCTTCCAATAACTGAAGGACTTCTTGAAGTAGATATATACCACTGTGAGAAGAGAGGCTACAGCAGCACCCACGGCCAGAAGAGTGGTTTCAGGTAGGAGCCCCATGCTAACTTCAAGTCAAACCTACAGGATTATAACCACACGAATTAATGTAAACGAACAGAGTAGTTGATAAATAAGTTGAAATCTTAATGATAGATTGAATCATTCGAGAGAGACATTTGTAGTACCATCCAGAAGAAAATTGTCGTAACCGTGACAGTGTTTTTGTTATTAAAGTGAAATACGTATAAAGAAAATTCTAAGATCCTCTGTCATGGTTATATTTAAAACACATTCAGTAGTTACTGGTTGAGTCAGATAAATTTTATGACTGTATAGGCAAAATATGTTCTTGTTTGAAAGTGTAATGTCTCTCCTCATATTTAGCCTACTAATCCTCTGAAGTTGTTAATAGGAAGTTATGTTTGTTAACTCATTGTGATACTGATTAATATTATTTTGTATTTTATATGCCACATCCTGAAGTTGGCGGGGCTTCTTGTCGTTAATATGAACTCCTGTCTGGATTGAAAAATTATCTAATATAATTATAATTTACTTTCAGATGCCGTCATTGGTTTTTATAATTTATTGAGATAATCAGAGCCAGTATCAACCTGACAGAGATAATGTGTGATTTTTCTTGGTTTCTCTGGGCAAATACCGGTGTATTAATTAAAATTAGGATGTGGCTGGCTCCATTCGCCTCATTTCCAATCCATTGTTCACCCTTGACCCTCTCATTAAACGTTATACATTCTGGGTTTCTGAGGATGCTCTAACAAAAATACAGATATATAGAGACAGGAAAAGATCAGCTAAAATGCCATATCCTGTTTCTTTAAGATCTAGTTTAATATCATCCTTCCATTCATGTTTAACCCCCCCCCCNCCCCCCCCCCCGAGTGGTATCTTTTGTTTATATTTTCTGACTAGAACGTGCATGCTTCTATCATCCCTATGCATGTCACGTTCCTTATACTCGTAGTATCAAACGAGAGTACGATTTCTCACTGTTGTTACGTGTAGTTATGAAATAGGAAGAGAGAAGGCCCGATCTCAATAAAGATAAAATATTAAGGCAAGCAGAGCACTCGGTGTATCAATGTACTTCTGAAAATGAAGATATGACAGTGGTCAGCATTATCTGTGCACGTTATCTTGAAGTTGTGACCGGTGCTATCTGAAGCCACAGAGTGAAGTATGTTGTCAAGGACACGAGTACTAATGCCTTCTTATCGCGTTCAGAAACAAAGAAAGAGGCAAGATTTCATATTTGTTACTGGAAAAAGAGCAAGAAATGGTGTACACGTCATTATAATTTTTTGGTGGATGAAAAGATGTCATTAATATTAACGGGTGTCAGCAGAACTTCGGTCCCTGTCTATTGTCTTACGTTTCATATTTAATATCCAAACCAAATAAAAATATCCTACATAATTATCTACATATTTTCATAAGGATAAGAATATTTTCATAAGGATTTTATTACATTTCGTTTATTCTTATACGTGAACTATGCCTCTTTAATTGTCCATATAATAACTTCATGGAGTTGAGCCCTTATTGAGAACATGTCAGTTCAGCAGCTAGTCAAGGAGTTCCCAGCAATTTATGGAAACCGAAAATTCATTGCCGTGTTCATTAGAGCATCCACCTGACCATATCCTAAGCCAGATCAATCCAGTCCATATGATCACATTCTATCTCTCTGAGATCCACTTTCATATTTACCACACATCTACGTTGTGGTGTTCCTAGTCGTATTTTTCTTTCTGGCTTTCCCTCCAAAAACCTCCCTGTATTCTATGAATCAAACTAAGGAAAATTTCTAGAACATTTCGTGTGACCGATTCACATCCGTTGCTCCACTTTCAGTGAACCAAATGTTATGGCTTATTTTGCTGTTTACATAATTTACACGGAGATCGGATGGAGCTAGATGCATTCAGATATGCAATTAGATTTAAGACACAAAATTGAAAAATTCTAGCAATACCACATAAGGCGCACACCCAACAGAAGTTCACTAGGAGCAGGGAACTTACTTCAGTTGTCCAGTTCGATAAATTTGTGTACGCAGTGCAGGAATTATTTCGCTTAAAGGAAAATGCTCCTTGACCGTTGAATCCCGACATACTCAAGTGACGAGTTTAAATACGTGTGGGATTATGCTTCGACATCCACATTAGCCCTCATGTAGTAGTGCGTATGTAAGGACATTTTTTTGCCCTACGAGAATATCTGTCTTATTTCGCCTTAAATTCTTACACTGCCCAACAAATTAGGGTAGCGATAACACTGAGACCAGCATTCAGGAGGAATGTACTGTACATCATACTGGTCTTTTGGTTTTGGGCCTGAATCCGTGCAGTCGAACACCCGTGTGTGAGGTCAGAGGTCTTGGAATAGTTCAGTCATCGGATAACCAGAACTATCAATTATCTCAAGGAATTGCTCAATAAAAATAAATTACGTCACAGATCAGAATATAAAGCCTATTAAGTGAAAACTGTCATTAGAATTACTAATATTAAATTGGAATTATTTCAATTACGCAAAAGTGTCCTGCCCTTATGTTCGTAGTGTAGGGTCACTTTGCTTAATCTTGCCCAACACTGTCATATATTCCGAACAGCTCTGTCATGATGAGTAGAAATTAAGCCTAATCAAGCAGACTGCACTTCAAACAAAGCCTAATCAAGCAGACTGCACTTCAAACACAACTCGAGATTTCTCTGACTTTTACTTTACTCCGACAGAAAAACGTCACAATAAAAACCGCAGATTACTTCATTTTGTTAGATGTAACACTATTTAGTTTGGTAGATTCGTACCCACGTTTTGAACAGACGCCCCAGCCTGGAGGCAGAAGAGTTTCCTGGCCTGAATGAGGAGGCCTCAGTTCCTCTGAAACGAAGTAACACGTACATCTGCAGAACAAGACGCGTCACAGGAGAGCACATCGTGACAATGTTAACTGCCCGGAGAATCGTAGACCTCCCAATGAGATACTACACGTTATCACCATATAAACCGGAAACTGGGCAGTCGCTTTGTTGTTAATTACATTTCTGTGAATTACAGGTCTCACTCTCAGATATTTTATATTTCTTATATAAAGAATTTTAAATTTTAAGAAAAATGTATTACTTGTTACGAAAAATTAATGATCTGTAAACAGATCACGGTAGCCGATCGGTCTAAGGTATGTACTGTCTTTTCTCGTTGGGAAACCGGGATCGTGGGTTCGAATCCAACTCACGGCATGGATGTTTAGTTTGTGTGTCTGCGTTTTTCTGTGTTTGTGTACAGGCAGAGGCCTTGTGACGAGCTGATCACCCGCCCAAGCAGTGCTACCGTATGTCTAAGTTCTAGAAAAACCTAAGTAAAGGGAGAAGTTCATGGAGGTAGGCCTAGGCCCACTGGGGCTGTAGTGCCAAGGAAAAGAAAAACAGCGCATGATTTGGTGATTGCAGTTTCACGCATTTTACCGCAGATGATAACGTTTTGAGGTAGTGGACAGAAATACACAGATGGAATAAGATGAAGTTAAATACAAGTTCACAAACTCTATTACAAACCGTAAGGCATGATCTACTGGGTGCATGAAGAATATGTATGAGTCAGTTACATGAGCACATTTAGGAACAGGGTATTAAATGTAATCGTGCTAAATACATAATGATAACTATTACTATATCATGTACTTTTAGATACAACGTTACCGTACTTGTTCTAGAGTGTTCACCCAATCGACTTGTAACAGAGCACTCGGACTTATATCCCCGAAGACAGAACTCTTTGTAATAAAATAATCTGATTAGTGCCTAATAGTCGAACAAAGTTTCTTGGCAAGCCTTTTAGTAATATTAGTCAAAGCAGGTTCATCTGTATGATATTTCGATGGAAAGCAAATGCAAGAGTACCAAAGCAGAAAAAATAACAGTGGAGATTATGTTTCAGACATCATTAAAATGACGTCAGTATTTATTTCAGTGTAAAATTCTGTTTCAAAATGGTACCAAAAGACTAAATAGAATCACCTCTTATTCCATCAAGCTGTGTTTCAAAAATTTGTTTCCCCAAACTGTAAAACCCTGGGTATCTACCTGCAAACGAATTTGTTTGAAACGTTCTGCCAGATAATTGTGCTAATTGAGAAGATGAGAAATGATGACAAGAAACTGTGTAAGGAATTTACGATCAACATTTTTCCTCTAATACGTAATTCATTGACATAAAGATACTAATAGGAATCATAAAGGAATATCTATTCTGTGTAAACTATAAAATATGTAAGTGCCACCTAATAAACGAAGAAATTATTAATTAATAATTCTATAACTTTATTCTTCATTTTAGATTATGCCAAAAATTCGGAAAGGACAGGAGGCTAAAAGGAATGAGTGGACCGAAGAGGGAAGAAAATTGTATAATGAGGAGTTCTATAAATTGTGACCTGGAGTAATCAGATCAAGAAGCGGATACTTAGCGTTGCAGAAGAAATGAGGAACGGACGTAGAACTGAGGGGAAGAAGCCTAGACGTAAATGGACACTAATAAAGCCTAAAAAATAATTTATATGAGTCTCAGGAGAGAGACCATTACTGACCCTTTTGAGGCTAAGTTTCCTTTGTTGGGCAGAGGAATATTATGAGTGTTTGAATTATTATTAATTTGCTAAAGAAGAGCACCGTTTCACAATTTAAAAAGTTAAACTGACCTAATCAGATTAATTATATGAAGCTGACCAGTTTAGTTTCAAAATAAATAAAGTGAAAAGGAATTACTCTAAATTATGCAGCTAATAGAGGAAACACAGTTCCCAGTATTTTCAATGGATTCAATATTTGCCCTTGTTACAAGTGCATGAGGACGGACGACTCAGAAGCATGTCTGGACCTGCCAGGGATACCATTCTAAAGGGAATGAAGAGAAAATAGAGCATATCTCTTTTTTATGTTATCGCCTGTCCGTCCACAGTACCAAGGGCACTTTCACAGCACAAGCTTCGCTTTCAGTGCCATGCATTTGCTGTCATTTCAAGAGGCTTCGGTTGCATTCATGACTATA